GTTAAATGTCAAAAATGAGTCATTGGTGATGTCATGATTAAATGATACCTGATGAAATGTTTTTGTCATAATTAACTGGATTAAAATTTCAGATGCAAAGTTACATCAAAAAAAATTTTTTTTTAATCAATTAATTCATTTGTTAATAATATTAATTAATAATATTTTTTAGACTGTTTTAGTGTAAAAGATTTAATCTGGAATTGTACTTGTAACATAAATAACGATTACTATTATCATTGCAATTACCAATGATTTTAATTTTATTGGAATTCACAGGTTGTAGAAATTTAATCATCTGCTAGTGTAAGCAGCCAGTTTTGAGAAAGAGTTTATGATTCAATGATCTTGTGTTACCGGTTACTATTATTATAATTATATTGAGAGCAACTTAAAAAAACAACAATATAGCAACAAGTGACATAAAGAGACACTTTGTTTGTAACATTTTTTTTGCTATTGGAAGTTGTTGAATGGAATTAATTGTATTTGTTCATGTTATATATACACTCTACGTATATAGCAAGTATTTTAAGTAGTAAATTTAATAGAAGCTTTTTTATTAAATTAGATAAATATAATAAATATACAGTATAATATAAATAATAATGCAAGATAATTTAATAATAAAATACTTCAAAAAAAAGAAAATTGAATATTACACAAACCTTTATCATTAACAAAATATCATCATCGCATCATCTTTTCTTGTTCTGCTTGTTCTACGCTATATTCTCCCTCCTTTGTCATGTGTGTATGTACAATCAATCATTTTACACCTTCATTGTTGTTGCTACCAGTGATTTATATATTCTGTTAATTTAATCCATAATGAGTTTCTAAATGATTGAGGATTGCTGGTATGCTTGTTAAAGTATTAAATGTTTTTCTTTCCGCATTACTCATAACATCTTCAAACATATACATTCTATATATATAAATATATAAATGAATGTTATTAAATTATTAGGATAAGAATAATACTTGATATAAAAGATACTCACAAATGATGATGAAAAATAAAATGATTAGTCCCGTACTCTAAGCTCAACCTACAAAATTTCTCAATACATTCCCAACTACTATAACCTTTACCATCACCATTATTGGCAAACAAAGTAGGATTTCTTAATAATCCACGGGCAGACATCACTCCATCAACCTTTGTCGATTGGTAGAATTCCTCCGCATCTTTCAATGTGAATATACCTCCATTGGCTATAACAGGTATTTGTAGATCTTGCTTGATCAATTTAATTGCTTCTAAATTTACTGGATCTGAAGATTTTTGTTTGCGTGTTCTACCATGTACTGTTATAAAATCCAATCCTATTGACTCTGCTGATTTTACAAAATCTAAAGTTTTTCTTTAATCATTTTGGAAAAAATGATTATTATAAATCATTTATAACCTATAATAATAAATTTATTATTTTCCATACCTTAAATCATTATGAATTCTAATTTTTATTGAACAAGGTATATTACAAAAATTTTTAATAGATTTTACCAAATTTCTGACAATCTCTGGTTTTTCCATTAAATAAACTCCAATACCTTCATTGATTGCCCATTTTTGTGGACACCCACAATTTATATCTAAAAACAAAAGATTATTTATTATCAATTGATAACAACTCAATAGCTTTTGTTTGATTAATTTAATTAAATCCCAAATAATCAAATCAATTACCTATTCCATCAACATATCCATAAACCAATTCAACAGCATTCACCAACTCTTTATTATTATTACTAGCAAATTGCATTATCAATGGTGTGTCATTAAAATTTGTAGTAAAATCAAAGTCTCTTGCTATCGCAGAATTTTGAAATTCTTTGGCCAATATCATTGGCGTATATGTTAAATCTACATTATAACTTGTTTTAATTTAACAGATGCATCAATTAATCATCCGATCGATTGATTATTCCATTTATTTTGATTATTTATTTACTTACTTACGAACCAATTCTCTAAAAGGTAATTTACTATATCTTACCATTGGTGCACATACATTTAAATATTTTTTATTATCATTAGAAGAATTATTTTTGAATAAGTCAAGTGGTGATATTCTTTTATTGCTACTACTTGCAGTAACAGTAGTGGAAGTGAAAGAAGACATGGCCTAATGTATAATCCGGGACAAAATATTATTTATTAATATGCATATCAAGTGATACAAGGAGAGTGATTTTCAATGATTTTTTTAAAGGTATCATTTGCTCAACAACGAACGAGTTACAGAAGGTAAAAGTGATGGTGAAGAATATGGATTGGAGCAAAAGACAGGCAATTGATTAGACATACACACTTATAAGGTAAGAGTTCCAAGTCAAATAAATCGTTGCTTGCTTTCAATCTGTTAATAACTGTATTAATTCTCTCGATTGTTCTCTTCTTCAATGCTGAATTTTTTTTTTTTGGAAAAACAATTTATTTTGACAAGATGACAAAATATGAGTGTTGTTGTTTGGTATGGTTTGGTTCTAAAGAAGTGTTAATAACTAACCAGAGATAACTATTTTTTATTTGTATTGATATAATGTGTCTTTTAGTTTATAAATATTGAAATCAAAACACGGAGCAGATCTTGCTGGGTAATAAGATCCTTATCAAGGTGATGAATGATTGGTATTTTGCTTTGCATAATCATAATCAATATTATTATTAATATAAATATTTAATTACATGTCAAGGTGGCACACCATTGAAAAGAAACATTTCAATATATAATGTTTGATTATAGGAATTTACACCACCTTGAACACTTTACAGTCATTCTCGTACATTTCTTGTGTGCACAAGGCTAATCTTACTAGCTCCTCCCGATGATATGATGATGCAATTTAATTACAGGGGGTGACGCATGGCCCTGGAGTTTACTGAGACTGCATGAATCATCAATGACATTTTCATTTAATCTTTTCTCACAACACCAGACCAGAGAAAGCTTTTTTTTACTTTACTAAGCAGACTTATACTTGATATCAAAATCTCCAAATTACAAAAGCTTCGAAAGGTTTGGTATGGTATTAATGAAACCATTTAGCAAATAGTCCAAAAAAGCAAATTTTCAATCAGAATCTTTACATATAACAAAAGGTCAAATTTCTTCATTGTAATGTATATTATTTCATTAATAAAACATGCTCAATGTAACGGATTACATACATCTACAATATATTGTCGACATAAATTAGTTCGTGCAGTGGGCGGGCGACACCAAAAGTCATCAGAGGGGCGGCAAAATTTGAGTTTTAAAATTTATCACGTGTACAAATTTTAGCCAATAGAATTTAAGAAAATTATCAATAAATCACATTAATATACGAAGAAAGTATTCAAACGCAGTTTTTCGAAAATTCTACAAAACCTTTATAATAACTATATGAAATTTATATTATTTGTTCTTATAATTATGCATATAAATTTAATGTTTTTGTATTATCTAGATAGAGCTTTAATTCAAAGATTTGCTGATTGCGGTTTGAATCAACGACGGGCTTCATTAGCTTTTTGTAAGTTTGAAAGAAGCGATTTTATTTTTTTTTTTTGTGCGATTTGGCATTTCAAACAGCGGCAAGTTTTGAAAATTATATATAAAATATTACAAAATAGTGAAATTTTAAACCCTTATAATTGTTGCTATTAAGTTTAAAATAAAAAATCAGCTGCAACGAATTATTACCTGACTTCTAAATAATCGTTTGGTGCAATTATTTTTTAAAAATTGATCACCCCTGAGGAGTAGATATCATTTTTGGTAATCCAATAATAGTTGATGGCTTTTGCTGTCGCCCACTGTAACATTTCTGACTATTAAAATGATCATCAGTGGTCGGATATTTATGGTAGGAGAGTGTACAACAATAATCTTTATTAGTATCATGTGCAACCAATAAAATTATTCCCCTCTATAAATGCATCCCCCATAAATGCACGCTCTCATCCATTCCCAAGGGGGTGCACTTATGGAGGGTTCAGTGTACATAATCCACCTTACAAAAAAGTTAATATTATTAAATAATATTTAACTGATTTGATGTCATTGCCTTCATCACTTGAATTTACATTTCCTTGATCCATTATCCTTTCCTTAAATCCATTATCCTTTTCTTAGATCCATTATTGATTTTTTCTGAGCTAATTTAAATAATGATTCAATTAAAAAGTGGGCATTTACATTAAAGAATAATATATATTATTACTCACACAAGCAAACATAAATGTCTATAATCTCTGCATGCAATCTTCATTGAGATCCATACAAAATCTAATGACCAAGTACCTTCATGTTGTACATTAGGAAATTAATTTAGTGAAAACTTGCATAAATCTTATGATGCCAACATAATATTGCATAAATCTTATGATGCCAACATAAGTTTTACACTTTTTTATTGTTAAACTTATGATTGACACATGCAAATTTTTTTTATATTTTCCAGATGTAATTTTCATATTCTTCATTTTTTCTGATGTACAAACTTAATTTTTAAAATATATTAGATAAAATACTCAGAATAAAAATAAGATAAAAATTCTAAAATTATTCATATTTTCTTGGCTAATCAATGATTTATTAGTAGTTGAATAAAATTTGAATCATATAATGACGAAATCATTTCCCATGTGTCATCATCAAAATTATCTTTAAGCAACAAAGGTGAATCAGATGTATCTATGATACAACTTGACAATAGGTCGTCATATTTGGACCAATTCTCTCAAAATGAAAATATTTTCTTATGAACATTTATAGTGGATGATGTCCATGAATAATCTTTAACATGTTCATCCTTAATTATTTTTTAAATATGATTAATTGTAAACTAAAGATGATTAATGTTATTTAAATAAATGGGATTGTTGTTATGTACCTGAATATTCATTAATTCAAAATTTGACTTTATAACCAATCCATTTTTATGAAATCCTAGTATACATGCCACCCAAATTCCAAATTATTTGGGATTATGGCATCCCAAATGCACAAACTAAATTTGGGGCATCCATTGAAGAATTCCCAAATTCCGATGTATATCAGTTTTCTTGCTCAAATAATAAGTGCCTGGAATTTGTGAGGATGATCAGCAATCCCTTTGTTATGCTGAATGCTTATTGGTTAGGATAGCAAGTGCAGGAATCTGTTCTATATTTGGGATGCACGAATTAATTTGGGATTTGGGATTTGAGATTTGGGCAGCATCTATAAGTCCTCAGGAAGAACTGGTAGTTGTCTATATTATAATAAATTATAAAGTTACACATTATTAGTATCATAATACTAAATTAAAATATAATGTGATGGCTTTATAATCATAAAATATTAAGTAAATAACCAATATTGTCTTTTTTTCCAATTCTTTTTTTAATTCCACAAATTTTTTTTCTAAATTTTCGATTTTCTTTCAATTCCTAAGGAGGATAATTGTTTTATATAGGTCGGATTAATATTTGTAATGTTGATTGTAATTGAACATTAAATATTAATTTAATGAAATAAATAATATGTTTGTACTTGAGTATTTTCTTTACCATCATTTCTTTTTGAAGTGGTAAGGAAAGTCAAAAGTATTTTAGAATCACAAGTTGCAATCACCACCATTCTTTTAATAACTAAAAACTAAAGTGATGACAAGCAGCAGTGATTGCAGCAACCATCACCACCATTTGTTTAAATAAACTAGAGTGATGATGAGTGACAGTAATCGCAACCATCAACACCATTCTTTTGATACCCATGAATTATTTCATCATTGTGGTTAGTTTCTCTTTTTCTTTTATTGTTTCTTCTTGTATTTTATAAAACTTGGATATTTTTTACAAGTATGCGTTAGTTTATCATACAAGTTATTCTTATTAATAAAGTTATTATAATCTAATTTATAAATATTTTGAAAACAAATATCAAATCTAGGATGATTAATTGACAATTAGTCAGGGTTATTACTAAATATGGAATTTCTAAAAAAAGATGGTTTTATTTTGATCGACAAACGCGTCCTATCATTGTATGGTTGTACAAAGATTTTTGAACATTCACATTTCCTCATCTTTTATAATTCTTTTTTCTAAAAATGCCACGAAAAGAAAAAAGAAGAAAAGATAATGATACTGCAGAAGCAGTTTCTGGGTAAGTGTTTATCATAAGAATGGTTATCATCACTCGTCGTCACTCTAGTTATATATATAAAATAAAAAATAATTGTTTCATTGAAACAGAAAAATCAAGTTCTAAATGAATAGTTTACGAACATAGGACAAAATAAGAAGTTGGTCAGATATGCCATACTTATTAAAGTCAAAAATTGGCATCATTATGACTGTTGTTTAATAATAATAATAATAATAATAATAGGGCAACTTTTGGTTGAGTTCTTCTTGACTCAAGAGAATTACTGTTTTTGATACTGGTATTCACTGGACAAATTGATTACTTTACTCTTGATCTTTTAATGTAATAAAATTTAATAATTTTATTTTGGATTAATTAGGTTGGAAATATTATTAATGATCTCAAAAAATCAATATGACATCAAAATTGAAACAACAAATAATTCATTGGGAAAAAATAAAAAAGGAATTAGAGGTTTTCATAAGTGAGCTTATACGTGATACTAATGAATATGATGAATTAAGCTTTAAAAAATAATTTTTTTTGTTTGATCATAATTTGTTTATTTACATTTTTATTTGCCAAAATCATACAACCACAGAATTGAAAGATGCTGATATTTGAGAGACTAGCGAAAGTTCTTTTGATGACCAAGAAAATTTTGTTGATTCTTCTAAAATGGAACTGAAAACATCACATCATTACAACTACTAATATAATTAATAGAGCAGAAGAATTTAGTGAAAGTGATAGTAACTATAGTGAGGAGGAAAAGATAACGAGTAGGAAGAAAGTGAAAGTGGTAGTAACGTAAGTGAAAATCATGTAATACAGTAGTTGTTGAACACCATGTTGTCGAGGAATTACAAACAATTGATGATGAAGAAGGCGGTGGCGGTGGCGAAAATCAAGATAATATATCTGAAGGTGGACAAAGATACACTGCTCATTGGACTATTAAACGGACCAAAGAGTAATCATCAATTCTTTTGAAGTATGTATTTCAAAAAAGAATTAATTGTATCGAGCTTAGAAATGCGATCCGTGGATGATCAATTCGGATATCCGTAAAACAATTCGGATGGACGGATGGCTTTTTAAAAATGCTAACGGATTGCGGATTGAAATTTTAGAAATTATAGAATATATGGATAATCCGTTAAATCCGACAGATGTATTTTTTGAGCAATTAACGGATTTTTTAGATATAAATGACGGATGAACCGATGACGGATATCCACGGATCGCATCTCTAATCGAGCTTCAAACATTAGATATATCACGAAAAAACACTGATATTACTTTAAAATGGAAATCTATGAAAATAAAGATAAAATATCTATTCAATGTTAATTTTTAGGTATTTTTATCATTTACAAATTATTGTTATTATTAATTTTTTATTTTTTATCCATTCATCATCAATAACAGTCTTTGAAATCAAAAAAAAAAAAAATCAAATTTCTAAATCGAAATTATATTAATACTTTTTATATATAAGAAATACAATTTCTTTAAAAATTAATGTGTAGAATAATATTTTCCTTTACTGAGATTTATAGTTTGTTGGATAATGTTAATCAAGAAATAATGAAGTTTCATTTTAGTATTATTATTACCCGTTACTTTTAAATCATAATATTGAATACATGAACATGTTAGTAGTACAACGGTGTCAAACAATTTTAGACACTGAAATTCTTGGCAATATAAATGTTCACTATCTGGTTTCAGTTACTAAGAGGGGCAGTTTCGATCAGAAAACTATGTGTGACCCTGATTTGAACAAATTTTCTAAATTAGAATGATTTTCGTTTATAGTATAATTTTTATCAATTAAAAAATTACCAGCAAAAAATATTTGCAATAATGTCCTCAATTCCAACTCCTGGAACAAAGAGATTGCAACCCTCTTACTCAGATTCTGAAGAAGATGTTATAGTTAGCAATGATAAGCATCATCAAAAATTTCGAAAAACAGAGCAAGATGAATCAGTAGCTGATTCACGATTTCAAACTTTAAATTTGTTCTCGAAACTTTTATCAAGTTTCCAAGAAAAAGAAGAGAGTTCAACAAGTGATACTGAAATAAATGAAAATCCAGAATCTCCTCCATGTAAGTTGGATACTTTTTTGATAATGGTAAATGTAAATTTTTATATAATGCTATATATATAATAGGGAAAATGGCAAATAATAAACGAAAATCAAAAAACATTAAAAAACAACAAAATAGACCAAAGGTATGATTGATTGATATCAATATCATGTTTGTTTGTTTGTTTTTAATTTTTAATTTTTTTTGTTTAAAAATTGATCCAAAGAAAGCTGAAAAAAAGCAAAAACCGAAGCAACCCGAGTTTTTTTTTGTAGGAAGTGTTCTCAAAGTAATAAATTTCAAGGTAATGATAATGTTAATAATATAAACTTTATTGGCTTTACTCTGGTCCTAAATCTCTAAGATTTATAGTAATGTAATGATTTGAATATTGTGTAGGATATTCAAAATCTTGCACTAGCATGTATCGCTGATGGAATTTGTCCTCGTTGGATGCTTATCAAGGTATTTGAATTATTAAATTTCTTCTTGATTTGAATCTCTTTAGTGTAATTAATAATTCATTGATACCTTTTTTTTTAAAAAAAAAGAATAAAGAATTAATATCCAAAGTTGTTATATTAATGATACCTGGATTAACTCCACAATTTTTTGGTATGGATCATGAAACTGCTCGATCTGTTAATGGCCCTATAGATCTTAAAGAGTTATGTCAGAATGATTTATTGGGTGATATTGAATCTACCAACAAAATAAATGATGTCTTCCCAGCATTATCTGATATTTTCTCACATGCTTGTGTCACACGTGCTCCTGGTGACAAAAATAGAATCTATTCTCCTATCGCTTGTATTCTTAATACTTCAATTCCTAATAGCGAAAAAGCAAAACAAAACGATGAAAATATTTCAGGCAAGAATATCTATTATTAAATATGATTACTATAATTTATTATCAAGAGATTTGGAATATTTAATTAATTGGATTGCCTTATTAATAAAAATAATATTAGTCGATACAGTTGAAAAATTGAGAAAATGTTTGTTAACGCTTGAACAAATGATCAATAATGGATATCCAATTCCATCTTGTTATAACGATGACAATGGTGTTTCTCCTTCAGAAGGATGGTTTGAAGTAAAATTTGCTGAAAGTTTTAAATTAAATGAAATAGTATTATTTAAAGAAAAAAATGGCGAAACAGTCGAGCCAAAATTAATTGCGATGGATTGTGAAATGGTAATGACATTTAAATTATATATTATTATGTTTGTCATTACGCTTGTTAGTTTATTTGTTAATGGAAACCGCAATCAAAAAATTTTTTTGCGCTACGTAATAAAATTTAATTTAATTAGGTAACTACAACGACTGGTCAAGCACTGGCAAGAATTTCAATTGTAGATGAAGAATCAAAAGTAATTTATGATGAACTAGTAATGCCAAGTAGTCCAGTAACAGATTATTTGACTGCGTAAATATTATATTACTCTTCTACATAATCATCATTACCATTGTTATCACTATCATTATTTTTAATTTTGTCGCATTTATTTTTTTTTAACAAATCATTTTAGATACAGCGGCATCACGGAGGAATTATTAACAGGAGTAACCACAACTTTATCTGATGTCCAGCAAAAATTATTGGAAATTATAGGCAATAATTCAATTCTAATTGGACATTCACTTGAATGTGATTTGAAAGTTTTAAAAGTATTATATTAAATATCATAATAATTTATATGTTCCAATTGAAAAAAAAACAATTTATTCTATATAGATAAATTATCACTAAGACCAATCATTTTTGCTAGTTTGCACATCCATATATAATAGATACATCAGTTCTCTATAGTAATGGAGTAGGTTATCCTAAGCCGAAATTAAAATATTTGACTCAAAAGTGGCTTAATCGTACGATTCAAGAGATTGCTGGCGATATAGTTGGACATGATCCAATTGAAGACGCTTCAGCATGCATGGGATTGGTGAAGTTGAAGCTTGAGAAAGGTTTTTTATCTTGAATAAATTCTACATATATCTTTTTGTTTTTTGATATCAAAAATTCATTATAAAAATTTTTTTTTGTAGGAATGGAATTTGATAAAATCACTGAACCTATATTTCGACGCTTAGCGAGGCTTAATAAACGAAGTGTATTTATAGATGATAAAGCATCTCAGTCTTTTGGTGCTGACGCACAAAATATAGTTATTTGCTCTACTGACGAAGAGGTAAATTACAGCGATTTATTTTATTTTGGTTTTTTTTTTTTAATAATAACAATAATAATAATTGTTCATAATAGGTTGAAGTAGGTCTTGTTAGTACAATTGATGACAGTGACTTTGTTTGGGCGCGTCTTTTAGATTTTGATGTATTTTCTGAAAGCAATAATGAGGAATTAATAAAAAAGGTTTCTGCAATGAACGATCGAATTCGACGTATTTATCATCAATTACCTTCTGGAACTGCTTTTTTTGTGGCTAGCGGTTCAGGTGACAAGACAGATTTATACAAGTAAGCAAATATGTATATATTGGTATTGGTATTAATGTTTATTAGTAATTTAAAGTTAAATGGCATTTATTTATTTTTTATAAAGTATGACTCAAAAAAAGAAATCAAATCCAATTGATTGGTCTTCAGAAGATCAACAAAATCTTGAAAATGCAGTAAACAAAGCAAGAATTGGTCTTGGTTTTTTCAGATTGAAAACATAGTAAAAATAATAAGAAGTAAAAAAAAAATTCATATTTTTTTTACTTCACAACAATTTTCCTCTTCATTATATTTCAATCTTTATTTTATATAAATTATTCGAAATAAATAAAACAGTTAAAAGGGCAATTTTCTCTATATATAACCTTCTGCAAAAAACTATCATAAATTCAAGATCTCTCTTTTTTTCTCAAAAGGTGCGGATATTTATTTCATGAATTAATTCAATCATTATTATTTTATTATAATTGATCATTATTTGTATTAAAAATTTTTTTAGAAGATTTAAATTGTAGCGATCAATACTAAATTTGTAATTTTCTATTTATTATTTGTTATATAGAAAAAAATATAAAAAGAATGTAATAAATATATATATTTTAAATAAAAAAAGTTGCTTGAATTTTTAGAAATGAATTGGTTTATCATATGTGGCCATTGCTATAAAAAAAATTTTTTTAGGGAAAATAAAATGAGAAATATTATACATATATATATATATTAACGTCAGTATCAATAATAATGATTATGATCACGTACCAGCTTCTTTGAATGCTTCAGATAATGTCTAAAAAAAAACCCCCCAAATAAACAGTAATTAGAATATTAATTTAAATTCTATTCTCTTTTATATATATATATATATATAGAAATACTAACTGGATGTGCATGGCAAGTTCTAGCTATATCTTCGCTACTTGCACCATATTCCATAGCTAGAACAGCTTCA